ACTGGGCCAACATAATGATGGTGAAACAGAAAAAAACTTATTTTTGTGATCAAGAATAAAGTGGACAACTTGTGACAACAAATGACAAGTTTCACATAGAATAAGTAAGGTTAACAAACTGATTAAGGACAGTCAGCAGATCACTCAAAAAATTGTTCACAGGTTTGGCATTTCACTGAAATATGTAGGTCATATTTATGTTCTTCAGTATGGAAATATGTATACAAGATGGGTTCCTTTGCATGCTGATAGCAAAGATGAAAACTTCAAGAGTTAAAATTTGCTAGAATTGTTGTCACACTATAAGAATGTAGGTAAGAGATTTCTTCACAGTATTGTGACAGAAGATGAAATATCAGCTTATCTTTATGACCCAGAAATGAAGCATTCATCCATGAAATATTATCACAATTTCCTTTTTTCCCCCCAAAAGGAAAACTTGAAGCTACTTTTTGGAGCAGAGATGGTGCTATTTACATGAATTTCTTTGAATCTAGAATTTACCAACACCTGATAGAGCTACATTGCAATGCTCAAAGCTATGAAACATTAAAAAGAAAATTTGCTGCAATAGACAATTGTGAAGTTGGGTCTACTGTTTGACCTCATCTTCCATATAGTCCAGATTTGATACCATGCAACTTTCATCTTTTTCCAAAATTGAAGATCTTTATTGGCATCTGTTTGTCTCAAATTAAGAAGTAGGAAGAATTCTCAAGACTTAGTTTTACATTCAGTCCACATATACAAGCTAGGATCTCTCATCTGGGAACGATATCATAAGCAAACATACTGTTACCTATATCCCATTTTTTAGGAAGTGTATGCAGTGTATTGATGTACACTCAGGATATTGCAGCCCTGAAAACCAACAAAATCGTATCAATAAAGATCATGCATCTTAGTCACAGAATAATGATTGCATGAGGGAAAAGATTAGGAAAGCTATGATTGGGGAAGAAAGAATAAAATGAATTATCTAGGGTGCATAACATTCTATTTGTTTGCTTATGAAAAATATTTTGTATATATTAAAAACACATATGTCTTTGTGAACTTTCAATCATTGCACTGAAAACAAGTTTTGGAACCTTAATTCTGTTTTACTGCTCTGAAATCAACCTTCAGTGATCTGCAGTTTCATAGTCATATTGGTATGTTTTATTCCTTGATATAATCTATTCCTTAGCCTTTGCTATTCTTCATACTGTCCTTTCTGCATCATTTCTCCTGTTTTTATTGGTATTAATAAGTCTATCATTTATTCTTATCGCCCTCTGATCCGCCAGTACAAACAGAATGTAATTAATTGTGGTTCTTCTTCCTGCTTTTCTCTAAAATAGGAGGAAAATCCGCTGATGTCAACACCATCTCAGTCTGCTGCAATACAATTGATTTCCTGTGCCAATAGCTGCACTGAAGGGTATGCAGTATGGTAGATAGCTTTGGGAAATAATGCAAGAGTTGAAAATGTTGCCAAGAATCAGATAGTTAGCATGTTCAGCCTAGCCTAAAAAATATCATTGAACCACAATTAATTATTCTGCTTCCCCACTATTTTTATTAAAAAAAACCTCGCTTGCTTGAAATAATACTTTGCTTTAAGCCAGAAATAAGAATGCCCTCCGTTAATCTGAGTAATTGAAATATGGAGAAATCTATGCATTCCTCCTGGATTTGCGAAACAACTAGAATCTTCAGTAGAGCAATATGGTAACACAGAACACAATCTTCTCCACTCAATCGGTTGCAAACAAATCATTATCTTCTCAAATGACTCATCTGTATGCAAATAATTATCTTCCACTGAAGGTTCCATATGGTGGAAAGCAAAAACTAAAAGAATGTGGTGGTGGGGGGGACTTATAGGACAAAACAAATTGTGAAAGTACAGTAATCTGTTTATATTTACCGTTTGGTATTAAAGACCCAGACACAGTGGTTCAGTAGCTAAGATGCTGAGTTTGCCGATCAAAAGGTTGGCAGTTCAGTAGTTCGAATCACTAGCGTTGTGTAACATTACTTGTCCCAGCTTCTGCCAACCTAGCAGTTCTAAAGCAAGCAAAAAATGCAAGTAGAAAAGTAGGGAACACCTTTGGTGGGAAGGTAACAGCATTCCATGTGCCTTTGGCATTTTGTCATGCCAGCCACATGACCACAGAGACGTCTTCGGACAGCGCTGGCTCTTCAGCTTTGAAATAGATGAATACTGCCCCCTAGAGTGGATCTGGGTACTTGAGAGACCGCCTACTGCCAATTACCTCCACCCGACCAATTAGATCCCATAGATTAGGCCTCCTCCGAGTCCCATCTGCCGGTCAATGTCGACTGGCAACTACGCGGAGGAGAGCCTTCTCGGTGGCAGCTCCGACCCTATGGAACGATCTCCCCGTGGAGATTCGTACCCTCACCACCCTCCAGACCTTCCGCACAGCCCTTAAAAACTGTCTATCCCGCCAGGCCTGGGATTAAAGACTGTAACCCACCCGAATAGTATGAATGTTGTGCTTTTAATGATGTATTGTCTTATGTGTCAATTGTTTGTTTCCCTCCCTTTCCGAGTTGTAAGCCGCCCTGAGTCCCCCCAGGGAAAAGGGCGGCATATAAATAAATTACTCAATTACTCAATTACTCAATAGAGTTGGGAATGACTAGCACATAAGTGCAAGGAGAACCTTTACCTTTACTAAAGATCTGGTTTTTCAATTGGGTTCAGTTTAGGACTACCTCACTTCCTGGGTTTCAGAATTAGGAATGACAATGGAAATTTTCGATCAAGCTCCCCTAAATGTTTTTTTTTCCAAAAGCTAATAGCTGAGAGGAAAAAGAAATTGAATAGGGACAGCAGAGCTGCACACTGTTTTTCTTATTAAAATTCCATCAGTACCAGTGAAGCAGATATTTGTCCTGCAGGGCAAAACATGGTTGTAATGTGTAAGTAGCAGTGGGAAGTTCAGCTCATCTTTTACAGAATCATGAAGGATTGCATGAAAGCTGTCCCAAGTCATTAACTCTCTTTACTATACATGGAAAGCTAATGTGCTAAGAGAAGCTCTAGCTAAGCATACCCCCTGACACGCTGCTCTCTAAATGTAGGATGATGAATCATTGCTTAACAAACTTGTGCTGAATTAATTAATTCTGAATTATAGGAGGGGTTTAATGACATCATGCATAGGGACCTTTTCTATCTTTCTGCTACAGAATTCTCCTTTTTAATGAGTAGCATGTATTCCAACACATGTTTATTACTCAGATATACTTTCTACTGATCTAAACAAATTTATGGTAAATAAATTAATGTAGGAATTCAATCTATATATGTTATGTTCTGAAGCTAAGAAAGAATATAGCTTTTGAGTGAACTAGATATTATTCAACACCAGGAAGGATTTGAGGCTGATTGGTGTAGCTAAGTCATCAAAACTTGTGGCCTTTTCCTCCCTTCATTTCAGTGGTTCTGTGTTCCAGATCTGTATGTTCATAAAGAAATATTTAATTAGGAGCTAACACCACAAACCAGAAAACATTTAGTTTCACAAGATGTACTAATCTGGGCTGCTGCCAGTTCATTGTTTAAATTCTAATCCCCTCCCCCCAAGACTGGAAAATGAGAAAACTGCAAATGATATTTTTTTATTACAATTCATGACATTCTGAGTTGCAATCAATTATTGCACATTGTAATGCTGGCAATTCAGATTTCAATATGTCCATCATTTGTGGCTCTTTATTCAGTCTCTTGTTTCTACTTCTGCCTATGTTTAGATTTGGGGATATAGACCTATAATTTTGCTTATGAAATTCCTTAAGTGTATGTCCATTGGAGAAGAAACAAATAAGATATTTTGTTCTATTCACATAACAAATTAAGAATACTTCTCAAGGTTCTATACTACTACATTATTAACCAAAGGTAGTTAAATTGCATTTTGCTCAGTCTGTGAGCAAAGAAAATAAGATGGCATCTTTTTTTTTTTCATAGATGGAACTATGTACATTGTTAAGTCTAGTTTCAGCATCTTTCACTTCTCAATATGGCTTAACTTCCCTTATGGCATATCCATTTGAGCATCTCCACTGCTGTTTTGATTGCCATATAAATTGAAATTGCATACTTTTTCCAGGTATCTAAGGTTATTGATAGGTGTGCTAATCAGTAGTATAATTCTACCTTAAGAAAATAAGGCATATGTCATGAGTAAAACCTAGCCAAAATTAAGCAACATTTGTAGCTTTATTTGGAGACTGAGTACATGATGAATTATTCTTTAACGATCAGTGGGGAGGGCAAATATTTAATGATAGCTGGAATGTGCTCCATGTTGTGTCTCTCTCTCTCTCTTTACATTGCTATGTAACCTATCATGTGTTCTTATTGTTTGCAATTAAATAATAATAATTGGAATTATTTAAAATAAAATAAAGCCATATCCGGCAGGGGACCAGTTTGAATAAATTATTTTACAGAGAGGCATTTGTCCTCTATGTGTTATTCTGTTTAGTCATAATTTAAAATATTCTTTATCATCAGACTTCAAGATAAAAATCAATATGTGATACTGACATTGCTTTCCTTTCCCTTCCTTTCCTTTCCTTTCCTTTAGGTAGTAAAATATTACATATATATGTGTAATATATGTAATATATATATATACCAGTGTTACTAGTTTAACTATAGTTTCTAGATGGGAAAACATTCTTTTAGGATGAAGTAGGATCTTGAACTCTTTGCTCTTTTATTTATTCTTGCGGTAAAATTTCACATCTATATCACTGTATCTACCTGACTGAAGCCTTCCTATGTGATACACACTGACCATTTCAATTCATTTTAGGGAATTCATGACTTTTGTTTTTAAAAAAACCATTGGGAGGGGACTTTAAACAACCAATTAAACATGATCACTTATCACACTGTTTAAAGTCAACTGTTTTCTCAAAACAGAATCTTAATGGTATTTTTTTGTTGTTCTGTTTTTTTGTTCTTTTTTTGTTAGCAACCCAACTACTGGAGCTTTAAGGTCAGTACTTCCAATTTTTCCCCTCCATGCTTTTATTTGAAACAAATGCATGTGCTTACCCACCTTTTCTCTGTATTTTATGTGTGCGTAGGCAGATATGTCCATGAAGGAATGGGCAATTGAAAACTCGGCTTCCTTAGCCCTTTTTCTTGCACCACATTTCTTATTTTTAATAGGCAGCTCTTAATTCCCCAAACATGTTTGGCTGGTTCCGTTATTCGGCAGAGCTACTTGGCTGCTTCGGGCAGTTAATTTTAAGTGAAAGGCAGAAAACTATGTGTCTGTCTATAGATGTTTACATGCATACATGTACATACACACAAAGATGCATGCATATATGCATACATACAAAGACACACATTCATATACATTACATACATACACATCTACTCTGCCAGGAAATGGTATGAGTAAAATGTTCCGCTCCAAATCAATAAACTTGATCCATCTTGGTTCTTAATATACACCTTGACATTTGTTGCATTACTTACATTTGCTGCCAACTTTGCAAGCATTAAGTGGTCTTGGAACCTGTTTCACCATCTGCAAGTGCAGAACTGCAGCTGTGGGAGTAAGAGAATTAGATATTACAAATAGATGTACAACTTTCCCAACTGTTTACAAATGATTACAGCCCTGGAAGATGGCCATGTGGAGTAATGGGATAGCAGGGTAGACAGAAGAGCACAAGAAGATGTTTTATACCAATTCAGTTTATTCAAGCAGGCATGGGAAAGGTGCAGCTTTCCAGATGTCGTTAAGCTCCAACTCCATCTGTCCTATCCAGCATGACCAACGATGAGGAATAACAGAAGTTTCAATCCAGTATTATTAGTACAGCTACACATGGCTGATCCCTGATTTATATTTGTTTATTTCATCCAGCAAGGAGTCTGTAAATATTACACACAAAGGACTGAGACTTCATTTGCTCCCAATTCTTCTAAAAGCACACAATCTTATCTAAATATTAAATCTTAACAGTTCCCAACAGTAGTCTGTGGATAACTAGCAGTCTGAAAGAGTATTGCAGCTGATCCACTCAATTCTTCACAAAAGTGAGAGTTCAACTCAGAACACCAACATTTCACAACATTTGGTGGTATGAGATCACTCTTAACATTTCATGGTGGTCTACAAAAGCTTTTGATAACCAAGTGCTGCTTTTCCAAAGGATAGAAATGCTCATAATTCTAGATACAAAACACTATCATCCCCAAAATTCTTTATTGAAGGGACAGTGAATTTAATTTCAAAACAGTTCTAAGTGATTTTTTTTCTTTTACACACCAGTGATAATCTAGGATTCTTGCCCCAGCTGCTTTAAATATGGGTAATGATTGGGCTTGCATAATCACATATTCAAAACCATATGTTTACTTTTTTATTTATGAAATTTAGAACCACTCTTTTCCCTCACAGCAAATACAATATCAGAATGCATGCAACATTTTAAACCAGGACCAAAGAAACAACCTTTTGCTAAATGCAGGATATCAACCTAAGCCTGTGAGACAGAACAGAAAAATGTAGGCTTCTACGAGAGTAAGAATTATTCCTCAAGTAAACCACAATGCCCACACTTTCAGCTTTTGGTTTTTTTGAAAAAAGATCAAGCTTGTAACACTTCTAGAATCTGAGGTATAAATATCTTATTGTCACAGGCTATTTTAAGACTTTTTCTTGGTTTTCAGTGGATGAATGAACATTCTTAGCAATGACTCATATATTGCACACATGGTTTGGAAAAGGAAATTCCTTTTTTCCTAGTTAGAAGAATTTCCTTCTTCACTTTAAAAAAAACCAGAAATCTAGGCTTTTGCTAATAGTAGTATTGGGTATAACACATCTATCTAACAACTGAAGGCAGGGGCAGGACTAGGCATTTGTCATATTTTAAACTCATGCCTTGCATTTAAAATAGAGGATTTTTTTTTTAACATTAGAAAAATATCCTGCCAGACACATATATTATTTGCCATTGCGAGTTGTAAAAAAATAAGCAAGAACTGAGAGTCTGTGGCTCAGGTGACACAAAATGCTCTACTAGATTAAAACTGAGTTGCACTTTTTCTGATCTATTGTATTGCAAAAACCAAGATACTGGTTTAGTGTGTATGAATTTTGTCATCATGTTAAGCCTTAACAGTATTCATATGTTTGGACATAAAATGTTATGGGAACATAGATGCAGTGCTTTGTTAATTCAGATTTGACAGATTGAGTTTTATCTGAACCAAACCTACAATTCATATCAATTCTGCATGATGTGGTTATTCCCATTTAGGATAATGTAAATAGAATAGTGGATGTATATATTGGGATTTTCTTTTGTAAAAATACCAAGGTGATGGGCAGATTTAAAGTGCTATAGATTGTAATGGTCATGCGTCTGATTAAGTAATGGAGAAGAGTCAGGTCTTTGTATATATCGAAAATTCTAAATTAAGTAAAATTATAAATTTCCCTTTATCTTATTTTCTGCATGAGATCTGTCTCACTCTCATTAGCAAAGACCATGACATATAGAAATTAGTGTCCCACCCTCTTCCCCACTTACACTGTGGCAGCCTCTCATGGAAGATAGCCACATCTCTTGCATACTACCTGCAGCTTAAGAATGAACAAAGATGGTAAACTATTTGAAGAAAATCACATATTTATTAAATCTATACTCTTTCTTTCTCCCCCAAAATGGCACTCAAGACAATTATGAATAATAAAAATAAAGATAACAAAATTATAATCAATGCAAAACACAGCAATTAAAACAAATAAAAATAGATGAATAAAAAAGTAAAGTAATAATAGTGAAGTAACAATAAATGGTAAAAGAGAAGAGAGGACAGGAGAAGGTATTGCAGTGGTGACAGCCGTAGGGAAATATGGGCAGGAGACAAGGGGAAGGCTATTCTCAGGCAAGGCAACATCAGTGCTTAAGACTGTTCTGACTTGCTCTGCTCAGCTCCATTACCAGGTTTTAGAGTTTTAGTCTCTCTGATTGAACTCTCTTTTGAATGCAGATCAGCATGTAATAAAAATGTTGTCATCCACAACTTGATCATGGATGCTAATCTGGTCTGTATCACTGAAATTTGGTTGTGCACGGTGGCTGTTGTCTTTTGTGAGTCTCCAGTAGTCACTAGAGGCCCTGAAATCACCAGCTATAAGACCCTGTTTGTGAACTTGGACCAATGGAGATTGCTTCCTCCCTATAGGGCAGCAGCATCCTCATGCTGTTGGGCTCTTGTCTACCCAGTGGAGATTTCCAGGCTTATGTTCTGGGGTGGCGGTGGGGAGCAAGGTGTGAGATAGTGCATGGCTATCATGGCAGTCATGGATCTGGCCCTACTCTCAAAGGGGGTCACCCATTAGATCTGCTGTTAGTAGCCTCCAGGCAGTAGTATCATGATCTGGATTTGGAGGGCTTATCATTAGTTCGTTCTCATGGACAGACCACTCTCTCTTGACCTTGGAGTTCTCCACAGTTGCTACCCACCGCTGGATGGTGGAGCCTATTTGACTGGCCTGCCCCAAGCACCGATGAACCAGTGTGGTTTCAGAAGGAGCTTGGGATTTTTCCTGAAACTCTGTTGCATGGTTGAGCAGAGGCTTTTGTCACAGCTTGGAATGAGCAGGTGATGAGGATCATGGACTGAATCTCTACTATGTGGACACTCTCTGTATGTGGAACTTATAGATCTCCATTGTTTACCAAGAGACTCAGAAAAATGAAGCGACATAAGAGAGAACACACTTGAGGAAAAGAGCAAGGCTGATCAAGCAAGAGTAAGAGACTATATTAGGACTTACCTTGTGATGACACAGGCAGTTTAATTACTTCTCAATGCATCTGCAGGCAGCCAATTGGCATCTCTGTTTTGGGTGAAAAAGTTCATCTGCGTAAGGAGGAGCCTGAGCTGTCCTTGCAGGGTCACAATGAGAAACACTCTTGCTTGAGTGCACTCAGAACTGGGCCAGATCCTTTGGAGGTGATGGAGACAAGCCTCGGCCTTGTTATCTGAAGGAGTTCAATTCAGTTGCTCTTGAGGACAGTTCCTTGTGGCAATGAATTTGGCTACCTGTGTTTTGGACTCAGGTCCCTCCTGGTTGATTAACGCGCCCCCCCCCCAAACCCAGGAGGGCACATGTGGTTAGGTTCAAGCAGTGGTTAATGTCTGCTTGCAGGAGGGGATGATTTTGTCTATAGGTGTAAAATAATTTTTAAAAACCCAGCTTGAAAAGAATATTACATTATTCTTGGTTTAAGGTCTGATATAAATCTTGCCAGACTGAAGACTATCTGCATCTACAATAGAGTCTGTGAACTATTAGGGAGAGACTGTCTTCATCCTGTTCCACTCATATCTAACACCTGGCCTGAGTTGCCTCTTACTCCTGTGGGACGCTCCCCTTCTCCCTGGGGATCCAACTCATCAGTACATTCTATCACTGTTGCTGTCTTAGAGCCTATGTGGCACCTCTACACATCCTATCAGGTCATTGAGCATGGCTCTGATCTTTTCCCTTAAATGTGGCCATTTTAGGGAATCCAGGAAAGGTGCCTTTTCTCTGGTGACTTCTGCCCTGTGGAACACTCTTCCACTTGAGGTTTGGCAAACCACTCCCCTTATAGCCATCCAAAAAGCACTGAAGACCTGATTTCCCCCCTCCCAAGCACTGGGATAGGATGGGGCAGAGATGGGTTGCTCCCGGTTTAGCACGGATCGGGAAAAGCAGTAGTGGTGGTGGTGGAAGGCTCCACCCACTCTCCAGATGCTTCTGTGCATATGCAGAAACATTACGCATGAGCGAACCGGTAGTAAAAAAAATGGAAACCCACCACTGGGGTGAGATGGATGAAAGGATATAATAAGGATGTTGGAAGTTTAACTTTGGTGTTACATTTTTAATGTTTATGGTTTTAATTGATTTTATGCATACAGTTGTTTTAACTGTTGATTTGCAGATAGGCTGAATATAAATATTTTAAATAAATA